ACCTTGGCCTGCTTCCCATTCTCAGGGATGGTAGAGTTTCACAGAAAAACCTGGCATTTGTCCTGCCTCGCGGGGATTTCTCGGCGCGAGACCCTCTTGACAGCAAGTATGGCAGCATGTTGGACTGCGAGGTGTACGAAGGCCAGGTTTCTCATTGCACATCGATGTTGGACCTGATTTATTTTAAAGAGGCGCACAGACACAAACGCACACACACGTTTAGACTTTTAGAAATTGCAAATATTACAATATCAATGTTACACATATTCCTTTATGATATCTTATGATTATGATGCTTTGTGATATCCTTGTCATTTAATTACCCCTGACTTGTGTGTTGCGTCATTGGCATTTGCTTCCGCACCTGGGCCGGGCCAGGTGGCGGCCCAATGATGCTGCACCACTCGCAGCACTTGGTCCCTCAAGTGTTGAGACGCCTGGGGTATTTGGACCATGAGTACAATACGGATCTTGCGGAGGCCATGTTCGTCTTTATCAACCAAAAGAAGAATCTGGGCGTGCAAAGACGCTGAGCACCCCTTCGCACCCCATTGTGCGCTGAGCCTTCAGCAGGCGGACCTTGATAAACGTGAGTGAGTAGGTCAGCGCTTTTTCAGCTCACATTCCCGGTGCCATCAACTTGAACGGGCGTCCTTCTTGAGAGGTCCATTTGATTTCAGAGTCTAGGCGTCTAGGCGAGTGCGGGTGTGCGCACACAAACCCTCCTTTGTAGGGAAACCCTGAGCTCAGGAACAAGGAACTCTTGCGCAAGCATGGCCATATGAGAGCTGCATCTAGCGCCCAGGTGCGCTAGCTGAAGGGAAGGGATATAGGGGAGAGGCATCGATTTAAAGGACAACATATCAACATAAACAATCAGGAATGAATAGCAATCAAGCTGGGACCAAGAAAACAGCAAAGTGGAACAAAAGAACAAACACAAAGAGAAGGAATCGCACAAGAGAAAGACACACAAGGAGAAAGAACATGAAATACCTAAAACTATACACATATAAATGAACAAATTCATAAGCAGGGAAACAACTAAGTATACAGAGCCAAATAAAAACATTTATATTACTTTAATTTAATAAGCTCACCATTTGGTATCAAACAAGGACGCAAAACCAGGACATAAGAATAGACCGACAGAAGCACAAATGTGCACCGACCAGCATAAGCAGGAAGCAAAAACAGCAAAACAAAAAACATCTCCAAACAGGCCTGAAGCAAAACCAAAACCAGTCCAGAAAGATAGGAAACAAAGCAATGGCAAAGTAGTCAGGCCATGAAGAGAAGACTTTGGGTTGGTCCGGGACCACCGGCGGTGTTGCGCTCGAGAGCGACTCGCTGTTTCCACGTGAGCATTTGGAGTGGGGGCGCTCATGCGATGCCGAACATACGCCCTTGGCGGTTCAGCTGTTTGCCCGCTTGCAAAAATCCGAGTGAGTCAGCTAAGCCTAGTTTAGAATCAGAGATTGAACAATTGCACGCAATTGCTGATGTTTAGCTGGGAATCAGCGAAGTTAAGTATGACCTAGCTGGGACTTAGCTAAGTCAGCGAAGTTTGACTTAGTTCCAAATAATGCCAGACTTTGTTTGTGCTTAGCTAAATACAACTTGGTGTGGAATAAGCGAAGCACAATTTTACTTTGAATAAACTGGACTTAGCCAAGTAGGACTTAGCTTGACATAAACTATATAGGTAACAGCCGCAATAGCGACCCTCAACGAATTGCAACATTGAGGATGCCGCCAAGAGACAAAACACTGGAAGGGTTGTCACTTTGGGACAACAGACTCATCAAAGCGTGTAGCAAAATACACCATGTTTCACATGGGTTGGTAACTGCCTAGTCGTTTTCTGCTTGTAATTACAACGGCCAAAGCACGGCCCACAAAAAAAGAAAAAACAAAGGTCGTTGTGTCGATGTCTTGAAGAGCAGCTAGCTAAATGATTCTTCAACGTGCTTTGCCTTTGTTGGCTTTTTTAGCCAGGTGTCCCAGCTTCTGCAGCAGCAAAGGTCTTGCATTCATTCTGAACACAAACGACCAGACATACTCTTCCAAGCGATCGTTGTCACGCCTGGTGGTGACATGAACATACACGCGTCCGTATCTACAAAAACTAAACCAAAACCCTGCATCCACAGGTCAGCCTGTTCCTGATACCACAAGCACACAAGTCCACAAGCAACTCTAGCCCAGCCAAAGACTAGAAGGAGATCGTTGACCTGGCATTGTAGTCTAATAATACAATGGCTCTTAGACTCCCAGGGACCAGCCACTTCAGATAGACTCCAACTTCATTCTCCATTGGCAGAACCGGCTTGTTGTTTCACAGCACGGAATCGGTGTGGAATCGGCATATACAGAAACAGTACCTACTCACATGACTATCTAACACCACTATACAGTACAAAATCATGTAAAATCGTTGACAATGTTGTCAATCGACATCCCCGCCCCACCCCCGACCCCACTTTTAACCACACGACGAATCGATGACAATGTTGTGAAATGGATGATAATGTTGTGATGTCGATGACAACGTTGTGAAATCGATGACAATGTTGTGAAATCGACTTACCTCCATCCCAACCCCCCACCCCGCTTTCAATATCTTCTATAATCACACGACAAATCGATGACATTCAATGCCAATTGTGATGTCGATGACAATGTTGTGAAATCGATGACAATGTTGTGATGTCAAGGACAATGTTGTGAAATTGATGACATGTTTGTGAAACCGGCTTGCCCCCACCCCACTTATAATCACATGACTCATCGATGACAATGGGGTGAAATCGATGACAATGTTTGGATGTCGATGACAACGTTGTGAGAAATCGATGGCAATGTTGTGATGTCGATGATCATGTTGTGATGTGGATCACAGTTCCGTGATATCGATGACAATTTTGTGATGTCGATGATCATGTTGTGATGTGGGTTGTAACATGTCAGGAGGTACGAAAGAAGGAAACAATTGCGTTTGGCCATAGGGTCACTACCACGGCCGCGAGCACTGTATAGCTAAGTCAGATATGTCCTAGTTCTTGGAAGTGTTAAGTTAATATTATTAGTCATGCCAACTCACTCCAAAACTCCACTTGTTGCACTAACTCCGCTAATGGCAAGTCAAACACAATGACTGGACTGCGGAAGTTGTGGCCTGGGTTTTGAGCCTAAGTTTTTTAACAGTGATTCAGGCAAGTGAGGAACTTCAACAATAGAGTGCACGCGCTGATTGCCAATTGCCCCCAACAACGGTTGTCCCGACACTGTTCCTTCCTTTGACCCCGCACTTGAGGAGATTGAAGCGCGTCTCCGGGATGTGTTTGTGGCACCGGAATGCAGTGGACACTGGCGGTTGGCTAGGCCACAAGATGTCCGACTGCTGGAGCATTTGCGTGGCTAGGCCCATGTTTTTTGCAGTTTGGGGATGGTAGGTTTCAACCATATGCTGCAACAGAGATTATATATATAGATATATGTGGACGGATGGACCATCAAAAAGTGACTGCAGCAGTATTTGTACACCCGTAAAGAACCTTGTTCATTCTTCCGGAAGTGCCTCCGCCAGTTCAAGAGTTTGGGTTCGTCTTAGTGCGGTAAATACACCATATTGTTCAGAGTTAGGCCACTTTTTGAGCTGTAAGATCATGTTTATTGCGTTCGATTGGAGTACTGTACTGGAACCGCGAATAACACAGCAAAAAATGATCCTGTGAACTCGCTACAGCAATTGTTACGAAAGTACAACAGACGCAGATTTGAAGTGGAAAGCCACCTGTGCGTGTAGGAGCAACGCAGGTGGGAAGGGGTTATGTTCCCCTTCCGATGGAACTTGTGGATGGAGGCAAAACAAACACATCAAAACACGTGGTCGTCGACCTTCTTGGCAGTCTACTCTGTCCAGTTTGGGTGGTCAGTACACTTACCACCCAACAGCACCCCCGGCACGAGTGAAGGGCCGTTGGGTGGTGTGGGTGACACCTGAGGTCGAGAAGGCTTTCTGGGCGAGGACGAAGCCAAAAGCAATGTTTTCCAGGCAATGAAATCCTACTGCAAAGAGCGTGGTTTACCTCAGATGAAGACCTATGGTGGCTGCACCACTATCATTATGAATTCCTTGCGAATGGCGAGTCGACGGCTCTTTAAGTTTGAGCTGTGAAATGTGCGTTTGAACCTGTGGGATGAAAAGAAAAACGTGCCTGGCAGGGGGTTGGACCTTTGGAGCCTCAACACCTTTCAGGTTCTATCGATCCTAGGGCGAGGAGGATTGACATATGTTGTTTCTTCCTGCTGGTTTACTTTCAGTTTGCGACGACATGTTCAGGGTACTTCTCGAGATGCCTAAGGATCATGACAGACAGGTACCCTCTCTTACATCCTCATGGGAGCTCAGCAGAACTGTACAGGATAGGTTTTCCAGGGCATGTTCCGTGTCCACGATTGTTTTGGGGGTAACTACAACTATCAGATTTGGCTGTGGGTCAAAACATGTCAAAACCCTTACCGCACCCGCTTTGAGGGCAAGGGACGCGCAAGGAGCGCCGAACATGCTGCGCAAGACCGATGCCCCAAACTAGTCTATTCATGTCGATATTCTGTTCATTTTTGGTGGTCAACCAGTGTCCCCCTGTTTGGACCCACTGCCAACTGGATGGCAATGGTGCATTCCATGCATGAGGACGAGAGATTGAACATAGGACGGGAGCATAAGAGGTTGATTTTTCGGTTGTTTAAAGAACATTACTCCCAACTGTGGGTGGTTCAAGCAGGCTCAAGTATTGATTTAAGACAAGTACTACGACTTGAGTTGAAGTTGGGCTAGATCGACCCAAGCTCACGACCGCTCATCGCACTAGGGCCCTCCAAAAACAGGACAGGCCAGGGGCAGATGGGTGCATGAATATATTGGGAACTGTGCCCAGACTGTGCCCTTGTCCCATCCTGATGCGAAAGATCGTACTCTGCCGACAGCAGATGAGGTTCTCGGAGTGGAGCATGGGAGCCTTCAAGCTCTCGAGCTACGTTCCACACATGGATGAGGCGTGGTGATCGTGATGCTCGGAAAAGCAGCGCCCCATCCGAAAACTTCCGCTTCTTCCATCCCAGCATTTAGTGTGAAGAGACACGTATGTTTTTGTGTGTTTTGCGGTGCCTTGGTCGGGACTGTCGCACTGGAAGCAAACAAAAGCCAGTTGCAGCACATGGAGCCCCATGCGCTGAAGCGCTAGCCGCTAGCGGACGAGTTCAGGCTTGAGACTTCAGAGCCCTTTGTTTTGCTGTAGAGCTGTTACTCGCACTGGTTATGTCACAACTCCTTGGGGTTGTCAACTACAAGTGTCCATATGCGTAATCAGCCATCCAAATCCCCCAACCTATTCCATGGCCACAGAAAAAGTCATGAGCAGTCACCGGCCATTCTGTTCACGCCCCACTCAGTTGGGGTCATTGTTGGAGCATGTCTTCCGGGCACCTTCGTTTGTAGATGTTTGTAGTGTTTGGGTACGGCAAGCGAACCGGGCCTGCCACGAAGCATCACGGCGCAATGTAGTGAATCTTGTGCGATCCTCAACTGGATGGAACAGCAAATCCCTGGGGTTCTGCAACTCAGTTGAACAAAATTGTGGCGCAAATATTTGATGTTCAGTCAGTAGGAAGTGAAACATTGACCCATCTCACACCGGCGTGACGACCTAGACTCTAGACAGACAGGACAGGACTCCACAGACAGACAGAGAGAGAGAGAGAGAGAGAGAGACGGAGATCACTGCCTGTATGTATGGGATCAACATGGATCAACCACCTCATAATCATAATCCATGCTTAAAACATTGGTGAACATTGCTGTGGGCTGTTGCCGACGGGACATTCAGGAGGTTCTTCGCATAGCCTCCCTTTTCGAGGCCTGGTCTTCCTCCCTTTTTGAGCCGACCACGGGCCACTTCACTCCGCATGGGCAGTGCTTCGGCGGCACGATTTCACTCCATCGCGTATGGTCCTCAGGCAATGGGAGCAGCTAATTTTTGGGAAATGTTGGCCAGTTCACACATACATCCATGTTCCATGATACCAGTGTATGTGCACATGCAATGATCCCCAGGTGCTAGTATAGAGCTATTTATAGAGTCTATAGAGCTTATAGATAGCTTAGCGTCCGGGATTTGCAACATGGCATGATATTTACCTAAACATTGGACCAAAGCAATCAGAGTCCGTGTTCCAAGTGGGAACGGCATGGGCCCCAACTGTTCGGGCTCCGGTGGGTGAACGCATTGAAACCGGTGCGAGTTTGCATGGGAGTCTGCATGGGCTATTGGTAGCGCGGATTAGTATAGATTGAATGTGATTATATATATATATATGTGGTCGTCATATGTTGTCATACTGGTTGTTGGGGTTGTCCAGGTATAATACGATTGGACATCTTCAGGATTGATGGGTTTGTGTGTTTGAGCATTCTGAAGTAGATCACCTACAATGTGGGAAGGGTCTTTGATCGAACACCACATTCTACCGGAGGATGAACGCCCAAATCAATATCCTCACACAAACTAATATAGACATGTTCTTTTTCTCCCGTCGTTTTCCGGGAGGACGGGCCACGGAAAAGAGGCCCGCGCGGCAAGCCTGCAGGAGCTTCATCCGGCATTGCCACCGTCCGGACGGCTTGGTCCACCCAGGCCATAGGGAGTTCTACAGTGGCGTCCAAAGGAGTTCAGTTTGAGGTTGAAGGTGGGACGTACTCACTTCTCCTGTGGATCACAATGAATGTCACAAAAGAGATCGGCGGCGGTGCTTGGCTGCCCGCCCTCATGGATGTTTGGGACTGCTTGGCTGCCCCAGGTCCGAGGTCGCATCATAGAAGGGCATCATCCATTCTTTTTCGATGCGGAAACGTGGCGGTGTTTTTTCAAACCGCTCCAGCCAACCGGGCGGTGCATTTTTGAGCGCTTCGTGAAGTGGCTCGGTGGGCTTGAAAAAGCAAAGCAACGCGCCAGGGGCAGCTGACCCACTCAAGCCGTTTGGGGCTCAGGGCTGGTGGAGTGGACCGCCTCCACCCGAGAACGGGCAGAGTGCCCGACGTGCGCGCGGAACGGTGCCCATCAATCACTGTCGGAGGTCGAAGGCATTTCCGTGAACGGAAACTTTGATTCATGTTGATTCCTCACGTTTCCTCACTGCGAAAGCACCTCCGAGGGTGTGTGTTTTTCAATGTTTGTCCTTCTCGCCCAGGCCACCTCACCCTCCAGCCGCTGCTCCGCTCGCGCCGCCCCCGACGCAGCCGCGGCAGGTGAGACAAGACGAGACGTGACACAGCCGAAAGCAGTTGACCTGGTAGCTGCGCCTTTGCGATTTTGGGCAAGACCGGAGGATGTTACTTCATGCCCCAAAGTGAACCAGAAAGGCTTTGATTGGAGAATGTGTCTTAATGCTTTGCTATATGGGGTCCTGTTTTTTTTACACAGGCAGTGCTGCTCATGCGCAAGGTCTCAGACTTATAAGGTCATTGTATTATAATGGAATTGTAACTATTACGCGACTAATTGAGGTGTTCATGCGGGCTGTAGGGCACTGTAGGGTGTATTGCCAAGCAAGCACGCATGTCCTCAAGTCCAATTGTTCTGGAACCGGACACGTTTGTATGCACGCAGTGAATGATTCCCAGAAGACTCAAGATGTTTGGAGGTATTTGAAGATCAAAGCCTGATTCAAAATCACCCAACAGCCACAGGCACTTGATGATGCTTCGGTCTACAAGTGAGAATATGGGACAAGTAACTACATATATATATATATGTATATTTTTAATATATTATACTATATTACTATATATGTATATACACTTTTTACTTTTAGATAGGCATATATATATATACATACCTAGAATTACCTAGATAGCCTAGGATATGTTTTAGAACTGATTGTTTGTTGACTTTCCTTTTGCCATTGCCTTTCCTGCAAGTGCAAATTGCTTGGTGTTACCGATCGGTCTTGGTCCGCAGCTCCCAAGTCTCGAGCCTGTTTCACTGGGCCCACGGGCCGCTGCGCGGCCAAAGAGTTTCTGGGCGCAACGGGGCCGGCCCAGTCAACGGGAGCGCGTAGTGCAGTTTTGTGGTCCTGACGCACCATGCAAACAGCTCATAACTCCAGCCGTTTGAGATGGTTTGAGTATGTTTGAGGTCACCCTCCGGACTCCAGCTTTTGGTCCCCCAAAACGGAGGGCTCGATTCGACCATGTGGAATACTTGAAGAGCGATACCGGCAGCAGAATGACTAGCTGACTAGCATTTGTTTGACCGCGGCACACATAGCTCCACGTCTGAGAAGGCGTGGGAGCTTGGACTGAGGCTGTGGGATGATTGGCCATATTAGCGAGAGCTGGGCACAAGGAGGGGTGGACGACTTGGGGAACCCCAATGGACGGAGGGCACCTTCCTGCCCGCAGAGAATGGAGAGAGAGAGAGAGAATGAAGCAAGCTGCAAACCAAAAACACCGCACTTTGTTCTTTTGAAACGCATGTGCTTGTTTGTTCTCTCCAAGAATTGTTTGTTCTCTTTGTTCTGGGGAGAACCATGTTTGTAGCGACTGCGTTCGGCGACCGCACTTCGCCGCGCAGGAGTGACCCCCAAGGAGGTGCGCACAGAGCGTCCGTGTGCGTCCCAGCTGCCGCGGATGCCCGGCAAGAGCCGCCCGGCGACGCTTGAGGCGTGCAAGTCAAAAGCTCATGAGTTGGTGTGGAATTTGCTAGGAATAGGCTGTGAACCAAGAATGATCCCCTCAAAGACTTGGAAAGACTAATGGACCTTTGGTATGGATGTGTTTATTGACAAACATGTTGGGCATTATATAGATATAGCACCCCCATTGATGGCATAGAGAACTCCCACCTATAGGGGTATAGTCGACCTAGGGTAGGGTTTGTAGGGCTATAGGGGGCTAGCCTACCCTACCAGTACATGTACGTATCCTTACTACCCCTATCCGTACGCCAGGTAGGCCTGTGCCTACTCCTAGCCATACGCGTGGGGTAGGCCTATCCGTACCCTCAGTTCTTCTCAAGAGCTTTCAAGATCTTAGATAAAACACGTCACAAGTTGGAGTTTTGAATGAATTTCACGAGGTGCTTTCAAAGAGGTTACAAGATGCGTTTCCAGCCCGTAGTGAACTTGCAATCTTGTTGCACATTGCACGTGATGTTTCTTTAGCCTACGAGGGATAGGATTCAAGCTAAAACGAAACAGGCTGAGAAAACAAAGGAACATGGTTGCAAGTTGAAGCGCACAGTACTCGATATTGGTGGCACACCTACCAAGATTCCAAAATTCACACGATGACCAGTTGCACTTTCTAGGTCTATTCAATTTCTCCTGCACTTGTGAACCTCCGGATGCTTCTCGCCATTCCCGGAACGACCGGAGTCGTTCTTCACCGAGGTAGCTCGCTCAGTGAAGACGTGGATGAATACAATGAGCAGCTTCAAGAAGCTGCTCAGATCGTTGTCTTGGGCGCTTTTCGCTTTCTGCGCATGTTCTGTGATGGATTTTTTGGGCTGGGTTCTTCGTGTTTTGGGGCGGTCGGCATACGCAGATGGCGAAGGGTGTTTCAGACCAGGACCTGAAAAGAGAGCGTAACAACAGGCCAGACTCTCATGAGTGATTTAGTTGCACGTTTTATTGGAATTGCCATGCAATTATTGTGGCTGTTGGCTCTCTTCATTTGGTACCATGTAGGGTGTCCTTTACTAGCTACTCTAGCTGGTGCCACTCTCCAAAAGAGTGCAAAACCCCGGGACCAACAAGTCCCGCACAGAAGTCCCATGATAGGGCGTCCCACCACTACGAATTGTGGATGATGATGGTGATTATGGTTTCTGATGGCTTTCACCCAAAAACGGGATGAAGCTTCGCCGCTTCTTGTGCCAGGCTCTGGCACTTCAGACCTCCTCCATTTAAGACCAATTGCATACAACTTTCCGAGCAGCATGATATACATATATATATATATAAGTTATAAGTGTACATCCATTCTGTTGGGAGCGTTTGTAGTGCAATTTGTGATGCCCAAGCTCGCCTCCCCCCAAAAAGGAACCATCGCAATGTGTTCCTATCGTAGCCACAAGTGGCACGTGCCGTTGGTCTCAGCATCGATACAGCATGTCCGTCCATTGATGCCTATCAGTACTACGCAGGTTTCAGGTGATGATTTCTGCAGTCGATGTGATCATCAAGTCGTCACGGTTTCGGTGAATTCAGGATGTTTTCCTTGGGAAACTGGAAATCAAGAACACCTTCTACAACTTCCCGGTGAAGCACGGCGTCTCCTTGAATTCCCAGGCCGGCCCGCCCTGCACCACAAAACACACGGTTCCAGTCGGCATCCAAGATATGGTGTGCGATGCCAGCTAAGAATCTACGCGTCGTGACTGTGTGAGTGAATGTAATACATTTATATAGTTACATGTATAACATATATACACCTGGAAGTTCATTTTGGGCCGACACTATTGCCTAATGAGGGGTCTTCAGGGTATGTGACATACTGTTTGACGGGGTAAATGAATCGAATGCAAGACCACCCTGCAGACCAAGTTCTTATGATTTCTTGATCAGAGCGGACGCCACGGAGTCATTTGAGGCAGCTGTAAATCGTTGTGCTGACGTAGCAGGGTACTTGTATGTCAGCATCCGCCTGGGCCCAGGATCCCAAGTCAAAACAATTTTGCACCCTGGGGAGATGTAGGATCGGAAATGCCACTAGAAGAGAATTGAAAGTGGTGAACCGCCCACATTTGTAGGGGAGAGGCCATGGTACCTGTGCTTCAGACCTGACTGTGGGAGCAAAGTCCACATCAGCATCCCTTCCTATAGAGGGCAGTTTGGCTCCAGGCTGCTGTTGGACACCCCTGCAGGAGCGTCCATCCAGTTTTACACTCTTGATCACTATTGCACAAGCTTCCTATCGGTGGCAGTTCCATCACCCCGCTCGTTTTGGGTGAAGCTATCTGATTTTGGGCGAGCGCCAGGAGCTGGAGAAGGAATGGGTGTCGGCCCCACCGAACCTCTTGCGCCTTGGCGGGTGAGAGGTCACCATGGAGGGATTCAACGCCTCCAGATGCGCCATGTGTTGCGCCTGCGAAAGGGCCGTTTCACCTCAAAAAGAAACGGCTCAATAGCGCCCGGTGATCTCGCGGATTGGCACAGACACCGCTGCCCCAAACCTGCAGGAGCACTCACCATTTAACGGGGCAGGGTACCTCTTCATAGCGAAAGTCATTGTTTAAAATAGCAAAATCCAGATTTTAAAATGCGAACATGAATATTGTAATTGCGAAATGACACGCTGGTTGCCACCGCATGGCTGAGTCAACCTGGCTCAATATGGCAGCGCTGGGTCTCTGCCAACACGGTGCAGTGGGTGGGAAATTGCGATTAAACTTGGCGGGTATTGAATTCTCATCAGGTCCAAAAAACTAGGAACGGCCTAGTGAGTTGCAAAGACCTCCCTCAAAGTGATTTTGGGCAGCCAAAAAGAATTCTGGAGGGATCTTTGCAACTTCACACCCTCAAGACACCCATAGTTGCAAAGACCCTCTCAAAGTGATTTCGGCCAGCCGAAAAACACTTTTGGAGGGGTCTTTGCAACTTCACACCCTTAAGACACCCGTAGTTGCAAAGACCCCCCTCAAAGTGATTTCGGGCTGCCAAAAAATACGTTTGGAGGGGTCTTTGCACCTTCACACCCTTAAGACACCCGTAGTTGCAAAGACCCTCCACCTCAAAGTTATTTCGGGCAAGCAAAAAACGACTTTGGAAGGGACTTTGCAACTTCACACCCTTAAGACACCCATAGTTGCAAAGACCTGTGACAATTGAAGGATTTGTTTAAACAATTGAACCGCGAGGTAGTTGAGGACACCAAATTCAACACACCCGACCTTACCAACCTCGCTCGCCTTTGGTGACCTCGTGGGTGGGTAGAAAGGCCTCTTTGGCCAACCCGACTCGGCAGACGTGCCTGACGTTCGGGTTGTTGGCCTTGCCTTGTCATCGATCAAAATATATCAAAGCATCACAACCCAAAGTACAAGAAAGACCACAAGCAAAACATCGCGTCGGTGTTGTTGTGCCTTCGACTCCGAAACCGGTAGTTTTTGCTTGAGGCCAAGGGCTGATTCGAAAGCGATCCTCTACAAATCAATGCCGCCCAAAAAAGCACTTGTTTTTCCTGAATTTTTCCTTGCCATCGTTCCAAAATGCCAAAAGAAGAAGGAATTGTGGTGGCCTGGAAGT